GGGCCACGTATGTAATCTGCATGTAATTCATTTAACAGGCTTAATACGGCATAATTCAATTTGTAACATTAACCTGATTATGGCATTACATAAAGGGCAACATGGCGGACATAACTGCCGATCCAAGCGAAAATTTCCGAGCTCCTTCAATGTTCTTTTTATAAGAATGAATAGAGAAAGCGACTGCGAAATTTTGTTTTGCTACATCAGGACGCTTTTCTTCTCAAGTCTATATAAGGGAATACCCGATACATGATAATTCATGCAAGCACGATTTGAAATACTCAACTAACAAGGATATTAAAATGTAGTACCCATAACTCTACTACGCAGCAGGTTATGACGCTGCAATTTTATTCAATAAGAGAATACAATAAATATTTTTTCAATCAAATAGGTTGAATCTAAAACAATAAACTTTTGTTATATAATCTCATGCACAATAGTTGCTTCTTGGAAAACACTCAATTCCATAAGCAGTTAAGATAACAACCTCAAAGTCGTAAAAATGCAATAAATGATAACTTTTTTTCAGATGTTAAAAATTCTCTACCAATGATATGGAACGATGAAAAAGCGGCATTATTTAGTTTTATAGAATAGAAGTTTAAACACCTGAATAAACATTTCTTCTTTTTTTGTTTGTTATTTAGAAATATAATAATCTGTCAAGTGGACAATAATTATAGTGAGATACACTCACAAACACTCACACCATATATACCGAAAACATAAAATTAACAAAAGTAAAATAATAACTAAATAATAATCAAAAACTATATACAATAAAAAATAAAATAACCTAAAGATAAGTAAAATAATAAAACAATAAAAAGTTCCAATGTTTGTTACACTATTATTCTATAAATTTCTCTAGAATGACTAGTACACTAAAAAAAAAAATTTAATGTCCATATTTATTAATTCACTATTTATTTTATGAAGAAGAGTCATAAGTTAATCTTATTTTTATTTTTAAATATATTTCTGCTTTTAATTTTAAATCTATTCCCAAAAAATAGAAAAAATAGATGAACTACATGTCTTACTAGAAACATAGAAAAAAAAAAAAACTTTAAAATATTCACTAAAAATATCAAAAGCCACACTTCACGTGTCATGAATAAGTAAGAAAAAAACGTCTGCCAAGGTAAGGTCAGTATAGATTTCTCACCGTTTTCATTAGCTAGGTATCCAATTTTTCGTATGACAATAAAATCTCTGGGAGAAGCTGATTCGGAAATGCAGTTACCATTCAACATTCGTGGGTTTGATATCCACGAATTTCGTTTATCAGCTAATATTAAAATGCCAAAGAGTGCCGTATTTGAAAATTTCATATTCGATTATCCTTAATTTAAAAAAAAAAATGCATATTGAATATCCATTTCACTACAGTTCGTGAAAAAAGTCGTATGTAAAAATAGATTGTTTTGCAAGAGTGCATAAATACTCATTATTTCTTTATGCTTTATTAGTATAATTTTATATTTTATTGCCATCTGCTATTTTCCGTAGTAGCAGACTACTTCTATCAGTTGCAGACTACAAAATGTCATCTTTAACACAAATAGAATAAAAATTGAAAATTTTTACAGACGATCTTTTGCACTAAGAGCAGCGATATATACGTAATAGGTTTTCACTCGTAAAATGGATGGAACTAGAAAATCCATAGGAAAAATTCAACAGAATTCAATAAAATTGACCCAATATTATTTTTTCACAAATACCTACCTCTTATCCAGTTCTGAGCCAAATCGAAGGAACTATTTCTGAAATATTGACATATCTACAAAAATGCTTTTGCGCGTGCGTAAGCGGAGGTGCTGGTTAGAATTTAATAAAATTTATATGGGACCATTTACACACTAACCCGCACAATTCCTAAAAATTTTATGAAAATTGGATGAACGGTAGTAGGTGATATGTCCGTTACATCGAATTTGATCCTTGATGTCTGGAACTTACAACGCTAGTGGAAATTTTCGATTCTGAGCACAAATTTTTTTTTTATTCAACCTCTCGCACGAATACAGTGCTTTATATATACACCTTATATATACCTTCGGTAGTAGGGAAACAAAATATAAAAATAAATTTAAATTGCCATATAAAAACAACTTATAACTTACAATTATATATATATATATATATATATATATATATATATATATATATATATATATATATACAAACGGTTGAGCCACATTAATCTACTAAACAATACGTTTTTACATTGTAAAATTTTAAATTAGCACAAAATATTACTCGGGGAATAAAATTACAAAGGTATTAATATTATTATTTTTTTTTACATAAATTGCATAAAATTACCCATGTATACTAATATATGTTATGTGTTTTTTTACAAATTTTCTCAATTACATATTAAGTTAATTGTACTACTAACTAAAACTGAAAAAAAATTGTCCAAGATGGTCCGGAACTCGAAAACGTTGATAAAAATAAAATGAGGAAATTATAAACAAATGAAAAAAAAAACTATCTAATGTTTTATTTATTTTTATGGAGGAACAAAAACAAAAGCTTAAACTTTTAGTATATTACAAAATATTAAGTAGGTTTAAATATGCTAAATGTAATAATATATCAATTAAAATATAAAACTTTGTAAATGTTTGACGATTAAACAATAAAAATGACACCAATGAACCAAACGATTAGCTTCCCAGATTAGCTTTTCATGAGGGTAATAAACTGAAACTGTTAACGAGCAAGTTGTTAAGTAAATTTAGTGCCTCTTGTGGTTGAGGACCCGTACCATTCGAAGCTTGCTAAACAGTAAAATTGGCCTAACAACTTTACGGCATTATTTTATAGGACGTTAAGAAAATTTATAATAAACTGGAAGAGAAAAGTGGCACTGACTTTCTTTGCTCCAGATCTTCAGAATAATGTGTTATTCTATTGCCATGCCTCACCAAACCTTCAACCACAAGCCCATAAACCCCCTGGCAAAGTATAGTCCGAAAGCTCGTCCAACAATATTGACATTATCGCGAATGTGAGGTCACTTACTCAACTCGAATTCTGTAATATCCCGATGGCTGAAAATCGGTAATGAAGATGTCTTTGGTTTTCAATATTTCATCAGTATAGCTGTAATAAGTCTAATAAATAATATGTCTAATAAGTTTTTTTTTTTTAGAATTTTGCTAAATACAATGTAAGACTCATTGTATTTACATCTCAGCAGCGACTGATTTTGAGAAACGGGGTCAAAAGAAACCAAATTTTATGAAGGAATAACAAATACCGATTCAAGAGGTTGACCTACATTAATACTGTTGGTACTCAGTGGAGGCGGAATTTAATGATCTATGATTTTTTTTTTCTCTTAGAAAATGCATTTCCAAGCTGCTGGATCATTTACTGTAATTTGTCTCACTTTGATAACTTTCGTAAAAATCAGCGTTCGTTGACCGTGTTTATCCACCACTTAATCAAATTATTAAGTTTAGGTTCTTGCCTGACGCACAATTTGACGTTCTTTAATTTCTTAAATAGTAAGTTTTTCATTTCGATGCACCGTTTAGGAGTTATAGAAGAAAAAGCAAAAAAAAACATCGAAAAAATCTTCCTTTTTGACAGACGCCTTTTTTTTTTTTTAAATTATTACCATCCGGCTGAAACTTCGTAAATAGCTTCATCTCATTGTAACCTACAAATATTTTATTTACGGAAATTCTCGGAATTGGGGCGTTTTCAATCTAGAGATCGGCAAACTTTGTCTATTTCATTAGATACTAAAAACTCATAAATACCTGTTTGCTTTCAACTTGGATGGTAAGATAATTAGATCGAAAAATCGATTAAAAAGGTGTTCTAAAAAAATATTTAACCGTTTGGCCTACATAACCTCGTTGTTTTCACAATTTGGGGGTGTAGGTTACACCAAACGCCTCAATATTTTTGAAGGTCAAGTTAGCTTACGATTCAAGTTGAAAGCAAATGGGTATTTACGAGCTTTTAATACGTAATAGACAAAGTTTCCCCACCTCAAAATTGAAAATGCCCAAATAGCGAGAATTTTCGTAAATAAAATATTTGTAGGTAACGGTGAGATGAAGCTATTTACAAATTTTCAGCAGGATGTTAATAATTTGATAAAAAGGAGTCTGTACCACGGATAGTGTTGCCCAAATGCGAGACCGAGACGAGTCTTGGTCTTGTAAACACAGTCTCGGTAATGGTCTTGGTCTTGCGCAAGACTCTCACAACAATCATGCAGTTACTTATTAGCGTTTATTTTATTTTATTGTATTTATTTTTATTTTATTTTATTGTATTTATTATTATTAAGTTTCTGTATTATTTATTTATTTATTTTTTTTTTTATTGTAAATAGAGTGTGAGTGTGCTTTCTCTGATCACTATTATAAATGTCCTTGATGTGACAGAATGTAATATTTCTAAATAAACAAATGACTTATTAGCTTATTACTATAGAGATATTACTGTAATTTTTTAGATAAGAGAAACCTAAGTAAGCCCGAATGAAAAATTAGAGGATTTAAATGCTAAGGTATATTGGTTATAACAATTCTTTACATATAAAACTTAAGATTGTCAAGCATTATAACTATTTTGACTTGATATTTATTAAAAAAATCATTTTTTTTTTTTTACCAGTCCTGGTCTTGGTCTTGCAGCAGTTAGGCGGCCTTGCTCTTGGTCTTGCAAAGTGCAAGACCAAGACCGATTTTGGGCAACACTAACCACGGACTATATACATTGGTGGCGCGTTAGAAATTTTGTTTTTCAGATGTTTTAGCCTTACATTTTCAGATTTAAGAAAATAAAAAAAATTCCATATGTTTCGCAAGTTACTGGCCTAATATTCTTTAAATCAACCGCCATTTTTTTCTAGTATCCTGACAGACTGGAAGATTCTTGTTTATAACGTCCATTTTTTAAGGAGCTCTCAGTACTAGTAGAGAGTTAGGAGATTTGAAACTGGCATTGCGAGAGCCCTGTTAACTGAAGGATATATTGTGCTCAAATTCGTTGCAATCGCCTGAGAACGGTCCATTCAAGGCGGCAATTTGTTTCAATGCTGTATTGTATCTTTTATCCACATAGGTGATAACGTTGGGACAATCGGAGTCGATCTTGGGACAGCTGTTAGAAGATACTTGGTTGTGTGGTTGTATTACCACTTCCCAAGCTGTCTCTCCCAAGGAGCTCATGTCGGAGGAAAACGCTCCGTTTGGTTTCACATCGAAAGAAAACGGTTTACAACTGATCCATAAACACCTGGGGAAGTTATGTCGTCTGTTACACAACTCGGCATCTATTACTTTCAATCTTGAACAGTCCATCTTACGATATAATGTAATTGTGGCTCATTTCTCTTTTGAACCATAACATAAATCACTCTTTCAATCGAAGTTATATTGGCTCTATCAATTGAAAGTATGCTAGCGATTGGAATGGGAAAAGTAATGGTTATAACGTTTCGCAAAACCCACAGTTATTGAAATTATCGCTGACTTTAACATTTAATATTATTACGGAGCAAAACTACATCTCTTCCATCAGAAATGAAAATTATTATGTATACGAGGATATTCCTCATGCCAAAGATAATATCATTATATGCCTTAAGCACCATTTTCAACATATAAATATGAACAAAAGAAAAGTTCTTATTCTATCACTTATTATTGTGATCTAGAGATCAACTCTTCATAGCGATTTAAAAAATATAAATATTGTTATTATTATTTTTAGTTATTTATCCTAACTTTTTAAAATGTTTAAATTTCAGTTACGTTGTTTTTATCCAGTGTTGAATTTAATTTATTTTGGCACATGTTTTTATTCTTAAAGGACTTTTATTTTATTTATCTCGGAGATAATCTCCATAAAAACAATTGCCCCCCCCCCAAAAAAAAAAATAATCGTTTCTTGTTCTTTGAAAATTTTATCCCCATGAAGAAAATTGTTTTTTAACTGCACTTTAATGTCACTTTAGAAAACCTCAAATTGTGTGCTAGTTGCATTTCTGTCAGTTTCTGAGAATTTCAAACTTGTATCACTATATGACTCATTTATATTAAATGTTGCATTAATTTGACGAAACAGTGTAAAATATTTTTTATGCTGTGCTCAAGTGATTAGTAAATTTTGGGCGGGAGTAAAATTGGATATGACCGAATTTTCGAGCAATTACATACAAATCACTGAAATCTACCCAAAAATATATTGCTACTCATAAACATTTTTTTTTTATCATTATTTATAATATTTTTAATGGTTCAATAAGTCTTCAAATGCTTTGGAATTTGGGAATACATTAAAGCAATCACTATAAATGACATTGCTTGAGCCAACTACTGATTTAATTAAGACAATGCCTTGCTGCTAGGTCTTCATTTGGGAATAACAACTTCTGAGAAGGCGATCCTATGCAGCAGGCCGCTTTCCCAGTTGGACTCTCAAGGGCAATAATGGGGTTAATTGAACTAAATAAGAAGGAACACCTAATGGAGATCTTCAGCACTTCCTCCCGACTTTTCTCTTTTTTTTTTTTAAAGTGAAAAAGATGTCCTGGAAATCTGGAGAGAAAACGAGGAAACGTGAGGGAATGGGCTGAAGAATCCCTCATCCGAAAGAGGGGAGAACTGGATTCAAAGATCCATTTTGTGGCACCGAGAAATGAGAATATTGGGCGTTGTTAAAAAAAAAAAAACGTGAATTAAGTGAACATATTAAAAACCCGTGTGCCAGAAGGTAGGGTGAAAAAAAGAACATATTTGGGACAAGGACAACTTTTTCTCCTAAAATGTTCGAATTCAAGAAAAGTGAAAATTCCGAAAAAAAATTACCGGTTTAAATCGTATATACAATACTCGTATTTATTTGTTTTTCCTTCAGCCAGTTTGGCCTACTAAAAAGATATGGTAAATAATTATTTCATAATGAGTACATGAGTGTGAATGGTGTCTTAAGGGTTCGCTTTATACTATTATTTTCACTTTCACAAGCGAGAAAAAAACTTGGTTCGATATTCTCCAAACTTTTGTTGAAACTGCATATAACAACATAGGTATAAACGGAAATACCCGCACTTTAAAAGTTTTGCGCGCGGGTGGAAAGAAAATGTGGACCCATTCCACTTCTTCTTGGATAGGAGTCAAGAAACAGGTCATGGGAGGCCGTCAGACAGAACAGGAGAATATGGTGGAAGAAGAAATTGAAAAATAAATAAAAAAAGCATGCTGTGTGCACATAAATCAAAATGTAAAATATAAAATTTAAGCAGTGCTTTTTATGTAGGCATGTGAATCAACCCATAGCTGCAAACTCCAGTATTGTTTCAAAGGCAAGGTAGGAAAGAAATTAAAATGAAATAATGATAATGTACATAAGAATAGCTACTATACATAAGTGAGCTAATGTTATTATAAAATATTTTTTATTTTGTTAATTTGGTATAGGAGATTAGATATTTCACTAATATATATATATATATATATTTTTTTTTACAGAAATAATAAAAATGTCTTCAGTCATGGGGAAAGATTAGACCCAGCGGTACCGCTTTCTGCCTTGATTCAATAACCATGCTTTGTTAATTGAGGAGATCGCTTATTCAGCACCTTTTCCTCTTATCCATGGGTCTGTCAACTAAAGCCATACCTCTTATTAATATGTCCGTGTAAATTGTAATGGTAATACATGGTGTATTAATGATGTTTGTTTCATTTTAACATGTTGGCCCAATGTAATTCTTCTGTTAAAGTGAGTTCAAGATTGTAAATTTGGTAGTTTTTATAATATTTGTATTTTACATTTTTTTGTAATTTATTTTTTTATTATTAGCTGTAATTGCATAACTATAATTCCAAATTAACACGCTGATATATATAAGCAAAGATGTTTAAAACCAATAGGCCTTACGACTTTATTTTAGAATAATCTACCATCCAACCCAGACCTGAGAAAAGAGAGATGAATACGCAGTGTTATAATTTACTTTGAAGATTCTATCTGAGAGATAGGATCGGACTAATACGAAATATATACAAGACAGAAATTGAAAGAGTTTGTACCCCAAACCTTCTCTGAGACCCCAAAACCATTGTTCTGTACGTTTCAGTAAACTCCTTCCATGAGATTTTGAAATCTATTTTACAGATAAAAATTAGGTACTCTTCTTAGAATTTACGATACTTTAAAAAAAAAACAATCCACGAATCGAGAAATATTGAGCGTCCTGATTTAACAACATACTTCATAGTAGATATTGGGACAATTTTAAAGTTTAAATGTCCAATATTATCTAACGATCGATAGTAAGAAAGGACGATATTGTAAAACGTGAATTAATTATTTGAATGTATTTAAGCTACTATAATCCCCTGCACGGGCTGAAATCCACTTGGAAAAGTCCTCGCCCATTGGCTGGCAGAGCGGAAACAGGACCGGAAGTCGCGAACAATAGACTCCTGCGATAGCAACGACCACTACCTATCCTCTAAGCATCCTTCATCGTTTGACGCTTCAATGACACAATTTATCGACTTGACACATAACTTCACATTTAGCTTTTTAGAATTCAACAAAAAGTTCACAATAAGTAGGCTTTAAAATTTTATAAATATTCAAATTTTCAAAGATAACTTTAACGTATACAAGGTTGGCAATATCCCAGGAAATCCAGCCTAAAAACAAATACAACCGTCGTATCAAGGAGGCCGTAATAACTAATGTGCGGTTGTGGAGTATGGAATGCAGCATCATGTATGGAAATAAAAAAAAAACCTTTCAAGATAAGAACTGAAATAGATATCCCTTGATTTATAAGAAATGACCAACTTTAAGGTGAAATACAAATAAAAACAATACATAGGTTTATTAATATACGATTTACAAAATTTCAATTTCAATTTCAATTCGGTACAATAGCAGTTAAAGAAGCAGTAGCTTTCAACATACCAACTCTGGTATCATTACTTATACTAGAATCCTGACTTATGCAGAAGTTTCTGTTGTGAATTCTTTTTTTATAAATTTGAATAGACTGAGGACTACTGACTAACTAGACCGACACAAGACAACTAAGGAGCCTCATTACTCATAAATATTGATTCTTATAAATTTTCATAAATTTCAAATTTCCTCTAATTTCCATATAATGCATACCGTATATGCAGTACTAGGAAAAAGTTATTATGAAAATTTTTACAACACATAATGTATAATTATTTTTAAGAAAGATAGTTTTTAGTATTTTAATATATTTTTTATGAATACCATCCCAGATCATCTATTTACTCCATATACTACTTTTAACTATTTTTTTTTTTAATTTATATTTTTAATCATCTAATATGAGGGAATTTACCTAATGTACTTTTTGTATACAGTTGTAAATATCATACAAATAAATAAAAATAAAAAATAAATATATATTTATATTTTTAATTTAATAATTTTTATTTACTTACTTAATTACTTTTCATTTAAGATTTGTAAAAGGAATTATTATTATTATTCTACAAGCGTTTAATTGGCCCTTAATTGTAAACAGTACGTAAACAGGGTGTCTATTGCATAAGACTATACTCTCATTATGACAAGTGTTAATAATGTTAATTGTCGTTAAAATACATGTAAATGTATAGCTCACAAAACCGATCTAGAATTAAAGAATATATATATATATATATATATATATATATATATGCTGATGTATTAAGTTTTACAGCTAAAAAAAATAATAAAATAAGCAAAATTTCAAAATAAATTGAATATAAAAGCATATATAAATAGATATATTTTCCATAAATTCAGAGAGAACTTAATATGTTCATATTTATGTTTTGAGAAAAGAATATATATAGAATATATATATATATATATATATATATATATATATATATATATATATATTATATATATATATATATATATATATATATATATTACATAACATTTGACTTAAAATTAAAAACAAAACCAAAACCAGACATTCCTAAATGTATAGGAACCCTTCGCTATCTCAAAGGCAATTGAACAGCAAAAAAGGGTTTCTTTTGATATGCTCTTCAGAAACCTATGCCGTCGTATCTTTTCTCAAAACATAAATATGAACATATTAAGTTCTCTCTGAATTTATGGAAAATATATCTATTTATATATGCTTTTATATTCAATTTATTTTGAAATTTTGCTTATTTTATTATTTTTTTTTAGCTGTAAAACTTAATTCATCAGCTAACCCATTTATACAATTTTAGACATATTATTAATAATAAAATTTTAAATAATAATATTTTAGGCATTATATTTTAAAATAAATATGAACATATCA